CCAGCAGGAGAGGGCAGTTGGGGGCAACCAGGCCAGCAAGGGAAAACAACTAGGGGTGACTGGGCCAGCAGGAGAGGTTAGTTCGGGGTGACCGGGTTGGCAGGGGTGGACAGTTTGGGACAATTGGGCCTGAAGGGGAGGGTAATTAAGGACAATCGGTCCAGCAGGAGAGCAGTTAGGTATCAATCAGGCTGGCAGGGGAGAGGTTAGGGAGTAATTAGGCTGGCAGGCAGAAGTGGTTAGGGGCAATCAGGCAAGCAGGCAGGTGAGTGGTTGGGAGCCAGCAATTCCGGATTGAGATCAGGCCTAAACCAGCAGTCAGACATCCTCCAAGGGTCCCAGATTGAAGAAGGTGTAGGCTGGGCTGAGGGACATTGCCCCTAGTGCATGAATTTTGTGCAACAGTCCTCTAGTTTAATAATAAAAGCTTTACGGCCAAATTAAGTGATCAACATTTATGTGTGTTATTGCTGAATTCACAGATAATTCCATAGCACCCTGAAGATACAAAATTCACTGTTCTGGAAAGAGCCTGTAACCAAGAAACATGCCCTTAACCAGAATCAAACCCAGGACCCTTCAGTCTGTAGACCGATGCTCTATCCACTGAGCAAAACTGGCTAGGGCTCTATTGTCTTAAGTCACCCAATTTGTGGCACTTTGTTAAGGCAGACGTAAGAACCTAATACGCTATTGGGATATTAGTTAATTCTTTGGGTACTTCATCAATATGGTGTCTTGCTGGTACCTTTATGAAAACTTCGGTGGGTATATTTTCTGTGAAAAGCTGCTATACATTAGAGTGATAATCATAATTGTTTCAAATCTACAGGGAGAATGACAGGAGTCCTGAAGAGAGAGGGAAATAAGTATCATTGTTGGTTAAGGCATTGAGGGTAGCATGCTGGCCAGCCAGCCTCGTGAACAAGACACAATGAATGAACGATTGATCCTTTTGTTTGAAGGTCCTTTGACAATGAGCTATAACTGCAAACATGATCAACAATTCTCAGCAAGATGCCAGGTCTTTTATACCCATTGTTCACCTGTCAACAGTCTTTCAGAGAGATGTTAAGTGCTGCCCTGCTTCTCTGTTAATTACCAGTAGCAAGGCATTCTCCTAGCATGAGCCCCGTGATGTGCCAGAGAGATCTGGCTCCTACAGAATGAGGAAGTGAAAGAAAATGAAATGAATCATTGCTTCTGACCAGGACCATGTCCATGTTAGATAGACTTCATTAGAAATGTCAAAGCAGTGTTTTGTGTGATAAAATTCTTCTGCTAATACCGATTGATGAATAATCTGAAGAATTTATTTTCTGATGTGTTCAATAATGCCTGGCTACACCATTGAGAAAGGGTTAGGAAGAAATGGCATGTTTTGGAAACCTGGAAGTTAAAGTAAATAACCTGAGTAATTAATCTGCTTCAGAATTTAAATGGCCTCACTTAGCGTGACATCCAGGCCAGAAACTCTAAAGAAGAATATTGTCACATTTGATTAAAAAAAAAATTAAAATGTTGAACAATGAAATACATTTTTTTGATTGAACAAATATTTACTATGTACCACAGGGGAGCTGGGCAGTCTCTGGCATTGGGCTCTCTAAGTTCATATTGTTTCTACCAGGCCTCTCTCTCTCTCCCTTCATGGTTCCTGTCTCAAATAATGGAATGTTGTGAGGCTCACATTAATTAACATCTGTTTGGCAGCTGGAACAGGGGGGACAGAGGCTGGCACAGGGTCAGCTCTCAGTATATGTTTGTTTTTATTATCTGTGCAGCCAGGTTACACTGAACAACCCGGAAAAAGATCTAGAAGGAAATAAGAGATACACTTATGTCCAAGTTTATTCCTTCTTGTACTAATTGGAAGTTTTCGACAAGCGTGTCTTACTTGTTTTCAATGGTAAACACAATAAAAGAAAACAAAGCAGATCACAACCTCAAAAGCCTCAAGCAAGGTTTCTTGATGTGCGATTGAGAGCTGTGGATTCTACCAAGGTTACAAAAACAAGAACTTGACACTGATGGGAAAGCTGCTTTAGATGACAGGATTGCTAACAGACCATGACTGCTTCTCCTGGGTGTGGTAGCAGACGCGGTGCAGTGGAACAAACCGAGACCAGACCCAAGGGGGCTCTCCAGATGCTCTCAGCTGCAAGTGCCAAAGAAAGCCTGCACTAACAGAAGCCTGAGCATTTCAGGTGCTTACATAGCTCCCAGCAGGAGGCCCACAATAAGCTGGTTTGGGATTGGTGCTGGGAATTATCAATGTCATCAGAGACTCAACACCCTTCTTTTTTGTTTGCTCACTGTAAGGTTGCAATGCTTTTTCCTGGGGGTCCCAGGATGGTACCCTGAGCTCCAATCATCTTCTCCTCAAATAACTACCTGCAAGGCAAGAAGGTACAGCTCACTCAGTCACTTTCCCTCTCATCAAGGAACAAAATACTTTCCAGAAGGTTCTCATTGGCCAGAACTAAATTAAAAGTCCTTCCCTAAGCTAATCACCAGCCAAGGGGAAATAAGCGTTGTCATGCTTTTCAATCATAGTGCACCTCCTAGTGGTTGAGCAAAAGTCTACTATCCCTCAGAACAAAATCAGGGCCCCCATCAATCAAGAAAGGAGAGATGGGCATGTTTGTTGGATAAAGTAGATAGCTACAAGGAATAGTTTGACTATCTTCCACTATCAAATTAAAAGGGCAGCTACCAGTTAACAGCTCACATTGTGCACTACCGATGTCACTCATGCATTGAGCATTTTAAGTGCTCTTATTGAAGAGGCAGTAATAGGCCTTCTCAAACTCAACCTCTTCATATTCCCAGATGACAATGCCAATATCATACCCCATAGTATTTTGGTAGTTTTAACCTTTACATTCGAGTCAGACTGCGTAGATTCAAATGATGAATTTAGTAAGTGGCAGAGATATGACATTGGGCAAGTTAAGTAACCATATGCTTCAGTTTCCTAATCTGGAAAATGAGGCAATAGTAGTAGCCTATGTGGTTGGGAAAACTTAAACAAATACTACATTAAAATGACTTAAAACGTTTGCCTGACACATAGCATATGCTCCCTTAGGTGCTAATCTATACTAATAAAAGGGCAATATGCTAATTAGACCCGGTGGACTGGCCATCTTCCAGATATTCAAATTCCTTCTGGACAAAGCCACGGTGGTGGGGGCTGAGGTAGAGCGGGCAGTGGGGGCAAGATCAGGCCAGCAGAGAAGGGCAGTTAGGGGTGATTAGGCAGGCAGTAGAGAGTTTAAGGGCAATCAAGTAGGCAGGCAGAGGCAGTTAGGGACAATCAGGCATGTGAGCAGTTAGGAGCCAGCAATCCAAGATTACGAGAGGGATGTCCAACTGCTGGTCGGACATCCCATAAGGGGTCCCAGATTGGAGAAGGTGCAGGTTGGGCTGAGGGAACCCCCCACAACCCCGTGCACAAATTTCATGCACCGGGCCACTAGTAATAATATTAACCATGACTGAAAACCTGGCAAATATTAATGAAGACTCTTCTTGATGCTTTTCCAGCCTTTGATTAAAAAGTGTGCAATTTGCTTTACGGTGCGTCTTTCCATGGCAAGAGAAATCATCTTGAATTTTGCACATTCTTTACACAAGTCACTTGGCTTCTGTGGGATTCCCAACTGTAATATTATTTTTTTATGAAATCCTTATGAGTATTAAATGTTATCATGCATAAAGTAATTAGTAGATAATAAATGGTTGATGAGCAGTTCTGCTTAAAAAAAAATGGAGATGCATTGGTGAAGAGGTTGTGGCTAATTCAAAAGTCCACTGAATATGAGTTTACTTAAATGTTTCTCAAAGGGACATTATAGATCCTCTCTAGCAGAGTTATCTGGGATGACTGTCAATGCCGAATTTTGAGCCAAACTTCGTGATTCAGAATTTCTGATGGCGATGCCCAGGATCTGCTTTTTAGCAAGCTACCCAGCTAAGTGGTCAGCTTGTTACAGTTTTAGACCTATTTGTCTAGTCCTTAATATGCACGGGTCCCCAGTGTCTTTTATTTGCCCAACAGAAATATGCCTGACTTTTCGTTAAAGGGTTGTGGGGTATTGATGACTCCTCCTATTATACCCCCACCCATCTTTGACAACAATTGGGCTCCCTGTGACCTCAGTTCAGAGTACTTTAAATTTTCCTGGCCTCCAGTTTTCTCTTGTGAAACTCCATTAGGGGTCAAGGAGCATAATCCTGCCTTCCTAAGCCAATCCCCATCTCTTTGGTTTGAGACCTCTCCCTATACCTTGTCCAATGCATCTCTTTCATCTAACTGTTTCTGAGTTATATCCCTTTATAACAAACCAGTAATCCAGTAAGTAAAATGTTTCTCTGAGTTCTGCGAGCTGTTTTAGCAAATGTATTTATTAAATCATTTGTTTTATTAAGTAATCAAAATTACTAGCAAGTGTTTTCTGCCCTAGAGTCTGCGTATTAAAATAGTATTTATAATTTAACAAAATCAACACTGGAATAGGCACTACTAAAATACAACTGGAAAATTACCGTAATTAAAATTTAAAAATATGGGTATATATTCTATTGTTTATAATTGAAATACCATTGTGCCCATTAAAACAATTATTTTTTTTATTCTGAGTACATAAAAAAATCCCAAATATAACTATTACAAACCCTCCCATAACTCTTACTTCACTTAAATAAGGAATATTTTAAAACTTTCTTAAGTTTTCATTGGCCTCAGTAACCAATTATTTATATTCATTAATAGGAAATATTCCCAAATGTTTCTTTTGGGTCAAATTAAGTCAATTGGTTATAAAAAGTCTGAAATAAGGAAATATATTTTCATAAAAGAGAAATAACTGTGATCTAATACTCTCACCTATAAAATATAAACAAACAGATTTACACAGTTTTCAAGTAAAACTTAAATTTACCATGAAACTTTTTAAATTAGGAAAGTTACTCCTTTATTTAATTTTTAAATAAATCTAATGTACTGAATTTCTGGACCCAAGTGCTACTTGCAATTTATGATGGAAGGCATTTTTCCGTTCTTTCTGAACTGGCCAGTTCAAAATGCAGTGAGATTTAAACATTCCTCTTCGCAAGCAGAGTGCGTGGTTCAGTTTATAATCTGGAATCTCCTCAAGAAAGATCAAGATAATGGAATCCAGGTTTTGTTCAATAGCTTTCTGAACTGCTTGTTGCACCTTGAATCTAAGCAACAGCAAACAAGCAAAAACACAAGAAATTGAATTAAGTTATATATAAATATACAGTTTTTAATAGTCAAAAGCTCTAAAATCTAAAATTCCCCTTAGAATTTACTTTGATCTCTCACTAAGAATCAGGTTACATTCTTTCTTAATTTTATTTTTTAAATTCATTGAGTTGTGAGTAAAATGTTGATAATATTGAAAAGCTCAATGTAAAAACAGGTATATACTTCAAATGTCACAGTGTTGCACCTACCTTTTGCATAATGGGTCTTTCAGTAGATGCTGTGTTATAACAAAAATGGTTTTCCTGCTCCTTTTGATGCTATTCACAATTGCTTCAAGTTCAAGGACACCTGCCTGAAAGTCCCTTTCTTCCAGACAAAATCTGAGAGTTTGATCTTGCTCTTCCATCGGGGAGAAGTTCTCCCAGACCCAGTCCCTATCTTCATAGGCGTGAATTATATACGCCACATAGTCAAACTGCTCTGGCTGTCTATCCATTTCTTTGAAACCGAGAGCGCGATGCACTAAAACATTCCAGTAGAAGGATATCCTCCAGCCTTCGAAATGGATGCACAGTACAATAAAGATAAAACTCAACAGGATGCTGGTATTTACTATAAAGAGGAACTTGAAGGGGGCACTGTCTTTGCAGGGTGATATATCAAAAAGCATCACTGGGAAACCATGGTATTGTGGCGGGGTATTGCAGAGATAGTGGCTTGAGAGCTCAGAGATATTGGTGTGGGTAGCATTGAGCCAGGTAACAAACCAGGCAATGCTCTCACACGTGCAGTCGAACGGATTAAAGCGCATGTCTAAATTACTCAGGTTCCTGAAAGCCGGCCCGAAAACAGCCTTCTCAACTGACGTGATGAGGTTCTTCTGAAGGCTCAACGACTTTAGAGATGCCTGCTTGTCGAAGATGGACGGTGGAAGTACATTCAAATTATTCAACCCTAAACTGATGCTCTTTAACTGAAGCAAGTCCTTGAAGGCCTCTGCCGGGATCTCATCAAAGCCGTTAGACTCTAAATTAAGGATGTGGAGGCGAGAAAGACCCTTCAGAAAATTCACAGGACCGCCAGGGTTTGCTTGTTTCCAGAGCCGGGCTAAGTTGTTATGCTGCAAATCCAGAATCTCCAGTCTGTCCAGACCCTCCAACAGCTCATCGTTGATGTTGGCTATGTTGTTGTTGCTCAGGTCGAGGATGGTCATATTGGCGAGAGGGCGGAAAGGGGAAGGGGAGCTATCCAGGTTTTTAAGGCCCACCCTTCGGAGCATCAGCTGTCGAAGGCTTGGGACCGAGGCAAAAGAGCTGCTTGTCAGTTGCAGGTATTTGTTGTAGGAAAGGTAGATTTCAACAATGTTTTCTAGGCCTCTCCATTCCTGGCCCGTGAGTTCCTGCCCGATGTCATTAATGCCGAGGTCCAGTACCTTTAGGTGTCCCAACCAAGAAAAAGCTCCCCTCTCTATTTTTGAGATTTTATTTCTTGTCAGGTTGAGCATCAGTAAAGGAGAACGAGCAAGTGATTCAAATGTTTTATTTGTCAACGTTTGCAAACCGGTGAAGGAGTTGGCTAGACTTAAGGATCGCAGCTGTGTGAGTCCCGCGAACATGTTGCTTTTTATGCCTGGCAAGTTGTTATTGTCCATGTTAAGATGCTCCAAACTTGTTAGCCACTGAAAGGAAAAATCATCAATCTTGGGAGACAAAGAGAGGGAATTGCTTTGTTTCGTAAAGGAGCATCTCAAGTTCAGGTATCGCACATTGGAAAGCCCATAGAAGGAGCGAGAAGACAAATGTACTATGTTATTATACTCCAGAAAGAGATATTCTAGATGTGGAAGCCACGCAAAGGAGTCATTGCCAATGGCATTTAAGCCATTATAGGAAAGATCGAGCACGGTGAGGTTTGTCTGCTTGAGTCCAGCGAAAGTCGTGTTGCTTGTTTTGTACAGCTGAGTGCCGCTCAGGGAGAGAGTCTGGATGCTTGTGTTTGACAGTTCCTGACAAAGGTTCTCGGTGAGACTGGGGCCCAGCTGGGCATTGTTTAGAGAGAGACCAAACAATTTTCCAATTGCATGAAAACACCCTGGAGAGAACTAAGAGTGGAGGGGAGGAAAATAGGTTAATAACCAAGACACAGTAGAGTTTGTATGAACCTTGCAACTCAATCTGTTAAACACAATGCATTACTTCAGTCCCCTCCCCCTTATTCACCTTCTCTGGGTTTTCTCTCTGTCCCTCTAATGCACATCTCCTTATTCTGCACCTGTAACACCCAGGCCTTGCTCCAACCCCTCACTCCCCTCATATCCCTTCCCTGGCCACAGGGTAACTTCTCCTCAGCCTCCATGGCTCAGCTTAGATGTCACTCCCAACATTGTGCTACATTGTCTAGCACACAGCCCTATGAAGTAATGTTTATTACACTAACTTTATAACTGGAGAACCGGAGTAGAGAGAACTTGAATAATTTGCCTGATTGCACAATTAATGAGAAAGCCTAGAGAGGAAGGCAACTATATTAGCTCTAAAGTCCATGCTCTTAAGCATCACGCTCTGTTAATTCTTTCAGAGATTTTGTAAGATAGATGGTTTTATTTCCACTTTACATGTGAGGACCCTGAGAGCTGAAGTTCCCCTAAGTCCAAGTACTGGTCTATAATGGAAGGAGGATTTTTAGCCACTTCTGTTTGATGGCGGAGCCTTAGCTCCTAATTGTTACCCAAGTTCCTTTCTCGTGAGGGCGACATCAATGACCAAGAAGTCAGTGTGAAGGATTTCAGAAATCCATAGGGATTTTTTGATTCTTATCCATGTGACACAATTACAGACTGCCCACACTTAAAGACAGAACTCAATTTTATATCACTTCTTACCTCTTTAATTTGATTTGAAGACAACTCTAATTTTTTTAAAGAAGAATTGCCAAGGAAACCAAGTTCTTCACCACTTAGTACATGAATTTTATTATTTGATAATAGGAGCTCTTGGAGATTTTCCAGTTGGAGTTCAGTTCCTAATTTAGTAGATGATAAGCCATTATGAGATAGATCTAATCTGATTAAATTCTGAGAGAGAGAAAAAAAGTACACGTTAAAGTTTTGCCATCAAGTTCCTCTAAATCAGGGGTAGGGAACCTTTTTTTCTGCCAAGGGCCATTTGGATATTTATAATATCATTCACATGCTATACAATACTATCAACTTAAATATTAGCCTGCATAATTGGTCAAACACTTAATTAACTCACTCCTAGTGCCTTGGCAGGACCAGCCCAAATGATTTTATGGGCCGTATACAGTCTGCAGGCCAGATGTTTCTCACCCCTGCACTAAATGTATGTGAACCTTAGAAAGAACTCAAGAGCAAAATGTCCTTTCTCTATTATTCTATAGAGAACTGACAGTAGAAATAATAAAAATCTTTGATGAGATTGAAAATATTATTGTTGCAAGGATTTAGTTTCTTACATCAAGAATCACTTTATTTCTCTTACTGAAATAAAAAAGGCTTAAGATTACTTATTCATGACATAAACAATAGTCATAATAAGCACGTATTTACATATCTATATATATAAAAGGCTAAGCAACCAGCCAACGGTTTGACCGACCAGTAGCTATGACAAGCACTAAGCACCAGGGGCAGACACTCAACCACAGGCATGGAAACATGGAACAGACTGATAAATCTCAGAGGAAAAGGGGAAGAGGGAAGATTGGAAGAGATTAACCAAAGATCTTATATGCATCGTAGAGGACTTATGCACTGGTGGGGTCTCTCGGCTTGGCCAGTGCCCTCTCGCAATCCAGGACCCCTTGGGGAATGTCAGATAGCCAGTTTCAGCCGAATCCCCACAGGGCAGGCTGAGGGACCCACTGGTGTATAAATCTGTGCACCAAGCCTCTAGTTTATTTATAGTAAACTTATATTTCTGATCTAAGTAATATTCATGTGGCTTTTTAAACATATAGTGTTATACATCAGTCTTGAAACTAAACAACAGGAAAAGAGAAATGTTTTTTTTTAAAACTATGAGGCCCAGCTAGTGTTGTTCAGTGATTGAGCATCAACCTAAGAAGCAGGAGATTTCAGTTCAATTCTCGGTCAAGGCACATTCCTGAGCTTTGTCCCCATTGTGTGGTGTGCAAAAGGTAGCCAATTGGTAATTCTCTCTCATCATTGATGTTTCTGTTTCTCTCTCCCTCTCCCTTCCTTTCTGAAATCAATAAAACATATTTTGAAAAAGAATTATCAGTAGAACTTTGTCAACCATGAAATCCTAAGAAGATTTTTACATTGAGCAAGATTAATAGCTATGTAAACTTAGCATCATGTCAAGTAGAGAATGTTCATTTTTGTTTGTTTTGTCAGGGTTGTGGGATGTTTTTTCACCCTATGCTGTTTTTGAACATGTATGCTACAAAATCAAGTAAAAAATAAGGAAACACTTATTTATATTAGGGCAAAATCTTATGTCTATTAAACAGAGTAACGCTTTTATTTATTTTTTAAAAATAATGATAAAATTTCCCCCAATGATTACTCCAACTGGATATTGAGGTCTTTGTGTCCAAAGGTGTTTTTCCACCTTATAATCTAAGAAGGCCCCAAAAGAAATTTCAAATAGCTTCCAAGCAAATCATTTTATAAAAGTTTCTAAGCACATTTAAATATGTGTTATTCTTGGCATCTGAGGTCAAGAAATGACCAGTAGCTATAAGTCCATTAAAAAGAAGAAAACAAATAGTTTTGAAAATGGCTTTGGTTTAGGAAAAGGACTTAATAATTGTCTCAAATTTAGAGATAATAAATATAGGATGGGGCAAAAGTAGGTTTACAGTTGTGAGTACATGAAACACAGTTTATTCTTGTATTATTTAATTGTATTGTTTTTCATATAAGCAACTCTCAACCTACTTTAGCTCTACCCTGTACATTTTTCACAGATTTAAAATTCAAGCAAAATACTAAAAGGGAAAATGTAAGTAGTCATTGGAAAAACAATATTGTGAGATTTCTAAAATTAAGAATAGATAACTTTAAGTTGAACAACTATCATCTATCAATGTGTTAACCTTATTTAAGTCAGAATTTACACTTGACTTTTTTTCTCATTATTTCAGGTACAAAATCAGCAGCCTTGAAAGGGTATTTGCTGTGCTCCTCATGGGATGTTCCAATTCATCTTTGATCCCTACCTCCTGAATCTAAGAAAGTTCTATTTCTAATGGGAAGAAGCAAGAGAGGCAAAGATCTTTAAAATTAAGATTGAAACTGATTTAAGCCCTAGACTATTTGGCTCAGTGGATAGAGCATCAGGTTGCAGACTGAAGGGTTCCGGGTTTGATTCCAGTCAAGGCCACATACCCGGGTTATGGGCTCAATCCCCAGTAGGGGGTGTGCAGGAGGGAACCAATCAATGATTCTCTTTCATCACTGATGTTTCTATCTCTCTCTTCTCTTCCTTCCTCTCTGAAACCAAAAACAAATATATTTTTACTAAAAAAAGAGAAACTTATTTAAGATGATAGTTTCTCTTTTTAAATCATTTCCAATGATAATGGCAATATTTGTGTGTGGTTCCCCTCAGCCCTCCAATTTGGATAGATCAGATTTCTCCTTCTCCACTCAGATATCTAGTTATTAAGTCTAAGGATGAATACATGACTTGAAACCTTAACATTAGATAACATACTTTTCATTTATTATATGGAAATAAACATTTTCATCTTACCTTCAGGTTTTTAAAGGGATTATTTTGAATTTTATGGATTAAGTTGTATCCAAGATGGAGTTCAGACAAATTCTGGCAGAAGATAAAGGTTTTGTCAGAAAGTTGAGACAGCTCATTGTGTTGGAAGTTCAAAATTTTCAACAAGGGGAGTTTTTGGCACAATTCTGGCTCCAGTTTTGAGATGGAGTTAAATCCTGCATCTAGGATAGTAAGTTGACTGTATCTTGTAAGATTGGCAGGTGGTAATTTTCTGAGTTGATTGTGGGTCAGATTCAGCACTGTTATGTTTGCCGGGAGGTCATCGGGTATCTGAGTCAACTTCAGGTGACTGCAGTCAGCTACTTCATGCTGAACAGCACACCTGCTGGCAGAAGATACGCACTGTATCCAAAAGGGCAACAGTCCCAAAAAGCAGCAGATATTACACAGCAGACTCCGGCTCATGATCCCACCCTATAAAAAATATTAGAAAGCAATAAATTACATTAATAACACATGTTTTCATATGCATTGGTATATTCTTTGTAAAATATGTAACCAAATGTATCTATGCATGATTTTTTTTTTTTACTATAACTTTCATGATATACAAGTATGTGTAATACAGGTAGTATATTATATGGAAACTAGTGGTCCAGTGCACGGACTCATGCATATTGAAAGGAAGTTAATTAGAAAAAATATTTGAATATCACTATTTGCCCTTTCTCTATAATAGAAGTGAAAGAAAATTAGTAAGATGTACATGAAAATAATATATAACTTTATTAATAAGTAAACAATAGCCATATGATATAACAACAAAAATATATGAAAACAAAAACATGATATAAAAACAACAAAAACATGATATAAAAACAACAATGATACAATGACTGATAAATGGATTAAACTTATTCTAATATCTCCCTGCATACCACATTAAGAGTAAAAACACTTTCAGAATGCTTAAGTAAGTCCCTTGTGATGAAGTATTTACAACTTTAACTTTAAGGTCACATGCTCTTTGAACTCGAGAGAAAGCAGCATATAATTGACCATGTCCAAAAATGGGTTCAGGTAGGAATATTCCTACTCTGTCTAGAGTTTATCCTTGTGATTTATTAATAGCCATTGCAAATGCTGGTATCACGGGAAACTGCCTTCAAATTAACTAAATGGGAGGCCAGTGTCAGATGGAGACAAATAAATTAGTTAACATTAATTTTTAAAAAATATGTTGGGTATTCTAGAAAATTTATATCATTTGGAGGAACTTTGCCTTTGCTACAACATTGAGTACATTTTCCATCAGATGGTTTTTCACCGGAGAAATTTAGGGATAGGCAAAATTGACATGTAACAGTCCTTCCACCACAACTGTGTTCGATAATTGCACCCTCATTTACCTCATTTTTGCTATGAAGGCAGTTCCTACTATTATTGGTAGTACTTGTTGATGGCTGTTATTCAGACATATTCTGTTGACGAAGTTGCTTTCTTTCAGCCTCAAAGGATCATTGTGCCAACGGTTGGTCTGCAGATACGTTCTGTCAATGACCCTGGCTTCTTTTGGCTTCAGAGGTATGTTGTGGCAATAGTTGGTCTTTAGACATATTCCATTAACAACTTCGGCTTCAGAATGTCAACAAAAACGTGACATCATTACCCAGTGCCCACAGCCACCATTTCCAGGCTGGGCTGGGCTGTGGTCCGCATTTTGCACCATGGGGTCTTGGCAGCATCGGCTGTGATTTGGTGGACTGTCTGTCACTCCAGGATGGTGGCAGGGCCTATTCCCACTTGGGGGAAGCGGAGGGTTGCTTTGTGGGCACCAGATATGCAATGCCATTTCTCTGTTTGTCACTGCAGCTCCTGTGTTGAGTGTCTGCCCTCTGGTGGTCAGTGCACATCATAGTGACCAGTTGGACATTTAGCATATTAACCATATATAATTCAAACAGCATAAAAAATACAGAATAAAACTTACAAACTCCTTCTTCACCCTTCACTTACATTCCCATGGCAATGACCTATAGTAACCTTTTGATAGTGTCTATTTTTAATTCTCATGGCCACCTTCACAAACCTAAATAATATGCTTATGTTCCTATTTCTTCATTTACTGACTTTACGTATTTTCTTCCCATTCTAAAGATAAGGAACTTAATTACTGTGTTTCATCACTGTCGTCACAATTTTTCTTTAGTTATTTTTAATTTAATTTAGTCTATTGTTACAATTATAATTTTAAAGACTATACTTAGAATTCTATTTATTGATCAACCAACTTTAAACAAACAAAAAAAACCCTCCTGACTCTTCACCATGTGCTATAGGAAATGTGCATCCCTGTATTTTCTACGCACTTCTTCTTCCTTACTTGCATTTCTTAAAACTGTCCACTATAACAGATATATAATATTAGCATTTATCCTAAAGCTATGATTGGTCAGATAAACCTGGTCTAGATCAATTCATAAAATCTAAAGTCAATAGATATCATTTATAATTTTATGATAATATAAATGACTGCTCACTGCAGAATCAGTAAGACTCAGAGAAACACAGCCATTAAGAGAACAAACCCTGGAATTACACCCTTTGAGTTCTGATTCTGGATCCGCTACTATATAGCCTGGAGCAAGTTAATCTATTTCTCAGGCCTTAGTTTTCTGGTCTTGGAAGTAGAGATAATTAGAGTCACTCCTCCATAGGTCATTATAAAGGTTATAAGAGATGTCTTTCAGTGTTTGGAACAAAGCAGGATTTAATGTTACTGTTATTATTATTAGTCAGTATAATAATCCATGTTGTATAAAGTGGAGTTTTTGTAATTACAACAATTATAATAGCTAATTATAACTATTTTCTATTTTTAATTTTTTTTACTTTAAAAAAATCTATGCAAAATGGTATACACTGAGTGGCCAGATTACTATGATCTCTGAATGCATAATAATCTGGCCACTCAGTGTATTTGCATATTAGCCTTTTATTATATAGGATATACACTCGTTCACCATTATATTGGAAGGAAATAGTAGTGGGAGCCAAGCATGTAAAATACTTGATATTCAGGAAATGCATGGAGGCTTAGAGAGACTGGAGAAGCCCCTTTAACTCCACCCTGGATTAGGCAGAGAGCTTCCGTCAGGATCCACGTGGCACTGTCTTCGCAGGCTGGGAAGCAGCCTGCATCCTCCCTGAACAACCGCACCCTTTAAGGAGGCCTCTTTCCTTTCAAACTGTTCATTTTCCCATTTCATTTCAAAGAATGGAAAGCACGTCTCAGGTTAGGAGGCACCCATAAGACATCTTACCCTACTACTTGGTCTAAAGAGTGAAATTAACAAATTTAAGCTCTTGCTAATACAACATTCACCAAATCTGAGGCCTTTAAAAATTCTATTTATTTATTTTAACTGGTGGAGATCTTTACTTTCCCTCTTCTAGAGCACATGTCCGGGGCTTACCTATGTGGCAGGTGGGCAGGTAACCGGCAGGGTAAGTGACCTCTCCTCTTCGGGAGACGCTCAGGCCCCTACCAGTGGGGTTTCCCGACCCCTTTCCCATCCCACCTTTTGGCATTTCCCTGGTGAGCAATGACACTTAACAGTTTCTTTCATGTGCTTACTGTCTATTTGTATGCCTTCCCTATGCTCAAACATTTCGCTCATTTATTGATCAGGTTGTTTCTTTTTCATTATTGTTTTATAGTTAATATTTGTAATAGATTGTTTAGTAACTAAAACCATACTCTTTTAATATTGTAGCTTTATAGTAAGTCTTGAAGTCAGAAGTGTAAATTGTCCCATTTTGTAACTCTTTTACTAGATTGCTTTATGGCATGCAATGGTTTATGGGAATTTTCTGAAATAATTTTATTTTTTATTTATTTAATGAATCCTCCTTATGAAGAAGTAAGTGGCAACAAGAGAGGACATAGTTGTTTTTATCCTGTGTAACCTAGAAAGATGATTAGAACATAGCCGGAATTGAATAAATATATGTTGAATGAATAGTTTTCCATGGGCAGTTAAAAATCAGCTCAAGAAAACCTTTTTTTTTTTTTTCTATGCATGGTTACAAACTTGTTTTGGTGGAATTTGTATCCGCTGTAGTATTTGCTGGTATGATTGTTTACCTAGTTTACCATTTTCACAGTTTTTTTTTTTTAAAATCAATTGTATCCTCAAGATATGGGGATGAATCAATAATACTAATATTTTAATAGATTTTTGAATAAGATCTAAAAGTCATGTCACAAGAAGAATTCCAGATAAGTTTGACTGTAAAATCCTTGTAGGTGATTATTCTAGGAAAACAGAACTTATCTGAGTATTTAAAATTATTCTTTTTAACATTAGCGGTTTTATTTTTATTCTACCATCGCTCTCAGAAAAACAGAAGAAATCAGCTTTTATAAATTAACATTCTCATCCAATGGCCTTTACAATGCTGGCACCAGATACTTTTAAAGGTACACACAATTTTATGTACACAGGCTCCGAGGAGCATCACAGCCTGGGCCCCGTGGGGCCTGGCCGTGTGGAGAGCTGGTTCAGGGAGCACAGGATTCTTCTGTCCGAGCCAGCGCCACACTGCGCAGTGGTGAGGACATGGAGTCTGGAGCCAGGCTGCTTCGGGTTCCCACCAGCTACAGTTTGGCTTATTACCATGTAGGGGGATATTTCTCTGTCCCCCTACATATATACACACACACAGCGCATGCAGACACAAAGCCATATTGCAAAGTTGGGAGGCCACTTCCTGCAACTGCTAGCTGCCAAGGCTGACTCCATCTCCGTCTGACCTGACCCACATCTGCCCAAGCTAATCGCTGATCCTCTTACCCATCCGAGCAGCTTCCCACTTCTCATCTTCATTCTTCCTCCTTTCCTAGGCTACAGACAGCCTTTGTCTCACCCCGGGAACAGGGGGAGGGTGCCTCCCTTTCCAGCACATTGTCATAAAGTGCCAGCTCAGCTACGCCCCAGCCAGGCAGGCCGAGAGAGGGAGAAAAGCTCTCTGAAGCTCTCACGACTTTGTATCTTTAAGACAAAAGTGTAATTTTTGTAAAGGCTATCGCCGAAGAATTCTAGTAGCTACCTTCATGTGCCCGCCAGTTACATCACAAAGGAAAGAAACATTTTTTTTTCATTTGCTGCAATAAAAGGTGTTGCTATTATTTGTACTGAGTTATGTACACTTCTTCCCAGAGCTACTTCTCCTGCCTGTTTCTCCATGCTCCTAGGCGAGTGATTCTGGCTAGATTTCAAGCACCAGAGCAAAGAAAGAGCAACAAATCCTGAAACCCTAGTTCCACCCGAGGAGAGATCCTAGCCCCCGAGAACTACCTTCACACTCTCTGAGGAAGCTGACCGCCCTTCTTGTCCAAATCCAGCCGTGTTCCCAGGAACAGATTTGCTGCAATCTTGAAAGTGAAACTGAAGTTAAAAACAAAAGACCTGTCCTATCTAGTTGGTGCATTCTAAGAAGGTCAAAGGAAATAAAACAAGCACAGCAAGAGGCAAGGAAAACAGCTCCTTGAGAATATCTTCCTTCGTTTTCTTAGGTGCAGTCCCCTGGGTTTCCTTAAAAGGGGCACAGATTGAGCCACAGAGGAAGTTCAGACAATGGGACTTCACCCTCGGTGCGGGCAGGGTAGGGTATTAAATAGTTAATGAATATCTAACTGAGAAGGAATTCCTCTGCTATTAACCAGAGGCTGATGCAAAACTGTCAGAATTGAACAGTGTGCAGTCAGAGGGACAGAAAAAACCACTCCGTGCCTAATCAAAGCTAGTTACTTCCATTCCTCTAATCTCGTTTTCTCTTCTTGCTGACACTGTAAGGGAAGTAAGTGCAGAAACTCACCCTTTGATCAGAGAAGGACCAAGTTTCACAGCTGAGAGGGAGCCAGCGCCGTTCACAGGCAGAACCTGCGCCCCGAGAAAGTTCAGCTTCACTGTCTTGTCTTCCATTCGCTTTACTAGCTCCAACTGGTTAAAGGAATGTGCTTGTCCAGAAATGAGCACACTTTTTATTGTTATGATAAAATAACTACATAGCGGCCTGGTGTATGAAATCCATGCATGTGTGTGTGGGGGGGGTGTCTCTCAGCCTGGGCTGCACCCTCTCCAATCTGGGACCCCTCAGGGGATGTCCTATCTGCCTGTCAGACATTCCTCTCACAATCCAGGACCACTGGCTCCTAACCACTCACCTGCCTGTCTGCCTGATCACCCCTAACCATTCTGCCTGCTGGCTTGCTTGCCCCCAACTATCTCCCCCACCCCTGCCAGCCTGCTCGCACTCAACTGCCCCCTCCTTCCCCCCACTTCCTGGCCTGATCACCCCTAACTGCCTCTGCCTTGGCCCCACCACCATGGCTTTGTCCGGAAGGAAGGACATCCAGAAGGTCCCCCGGTCTAATTAACATATTACCCCTTTATTAGTATAGATAGGTATTATAGCAAAACATGACGATTTGCAGGGACTATAGAGATCACCTCATCCAACCTCTTAGCCTGAGAAATGAGGAAAATGAAACCTAGTGGTGAGAGATTTGCCTAAGCTGCCACAACGCCTTAAACAAACAAGTAAAGTAATAAAACTGCTTGAGGCAGTTGGAACAGGTCCCTAGCTTGACTGGGTTGCAGAATTAAGAGCAAGAAGTAAACGTGTGTCAGTGTGTACACTGCCCACCCCTGGGCCCCCGCAGTA